CCATTGCTGACGCAGCAGAATGACCGCGATGACTGTGCGTGGCTTCATTAGCCCTTGTCATATCCATTTGTCGTGCCAAGACCAATCAGGGCGATGAATTCTTTCGTCTGTGACCTTACGGCCGGTTGTGCTAAATGCCCATCCAGCGTTGTCACGATACACCACAGTAGCCCGGTACTGATGCACTGCTGTCTTGATATTGCACGCCTGTCTTGTTCCAACCAGCCGGAAATACGGTATGCATCGATCGGGGAACTTCCCCTGTGGCGTGCCGTGAGTTGACTTCAAGTCAACGATCCGCGCCTAGCTAGCGTTTCACGGTGGACGAGACTGGCAAGTACACCTGTACCGAGATGCAGGCATACGGCCAGCACTCTGGTCGTTCACACCCATGTGACCGGGTGAGGGACATTTGTAGGGAAACCAATATCTACTATTGGACATTTAGCAATTTAGTGCGCTCTCTATTGACCATGAGGCGTAACCCTTGGTCCCCGAGTAACAGAGTAAAAAGGGACAACTTTTCTGGGATCAAGTGTACAAGCATGCAAGGAAGCACAGCCTATTGACGCCTCTATCGTCTTGCTCGTTGATCGTTGTTCTTTTGAATCAGGCAGTCGTTCGCCGTGTCGAATTCTAGAGTAGAGTGAACACTGAAGTAGGTACGTTAACCGACCAGGGAAAGGAGCGAGCGAATGAAGTAGGGACAAAACAAACGATTAGTGTTCACGTCATGTCGATGCCTAGTGGTGCAGGGAATCTGTCAACCAGAATGGACTTGGAAGGGGTGGTTAAAACAAATGAGAAACCACTGAAATCTGTTCATGTTTGACCATGGATCGCACATCAAAACAATACGTAAGTGGAGCTGAATTTGGGAATCGAGTGAAAATTGATCGACCAGCAAATACCAGCCCGTGTCGAAGGAATCGATCCATTCTGTCAATATGATAAACCCGTAGAGCGGAACTCATTCACATTGGCTGAAAACCAGACGCAGAATAGTGAGTGACCTTGACCTCCTAAATTAGCATGTTTCGGTTACCAATAAATAGAGTTAACCTATCCTACAAATACAAAAATTCTTTCTGTCTACCGAGTTCTGGTTTTTGTATTCCTTCGGTTGGCTGCGCGTGTGACCGTGCAGTCAGACAGTCGCGGTCTCACGGGACAGCAGAGCAGCATTACAGCAGTTGTTGGGGACAGAGAGCAAAGGGAATGAACAATCGTTACAACAGTGGCGATACGAGTTTCTATCAAACCCAGAATGGCGGTCAGTTTCGAACAACTGCAGGCACTTTTGCAGCAACAGCAGCAGTTGTAGTTCGAAAAGTCACAGAGGCATTTGATCGAACTGCTATCACAAAAATTAGACATTTAAGGGACTGAACCTGACATCGCAAGAAATTGTTTCGGAATGCCAGAGGATTCTCAACTTGAATCCTGGTACGAATGTGGTCGCAATTTCGGATAGCAGGGAAGATCACCTCTGCCACAGTGCCCCTACAAAATCTAGTGTGTCCACCAGACCTGAGGATGCGACGGTAGCAATCAATGGCAGTCAGACTACGCAGATGACTAGACGCTATGAAGCATTACACCAACCTGGTGCAGACTGTTGCAGAATCACTAGTGCTGCCCTGAAATTCAAGTCAGTCACTAAACCAGTATCCAAAGCAAAGCGCCTTGTGCCAAGCAAGAAGGAAAAGCATTGCATGTCTCATGTTGGGGAAAAACGGACAGACGGCATGCGTCCTTTCAAAATTGTGAAGATGGTGTATTCACGAGACTTCTGAGGATCGAGGAGGTGGTCGACAGGAAGAGTGATCCGCAGAGGCTCTTGGGTCATCTACGAGCTAATGGTAGGCAATAAGATATGGGTCAGGCACGCCAATCAGCTGGGGCCGAATCACAACAAGACTCAAAGTCCCCCAGAACTGCCATCCCTGCAATGGGACATCTTGCTAGACAGGTTTTGTTTGGGAGACGAATCTGAGCAGCTACGTGGATCACATCATGATGCAAGCAGCAGATGACACACAATGCAGGCCAACCGAAAGTGGAGACGACCATCATGGCTACAGGTTGATCCCAAAGCGAAAACCTATGAACAAAGTAGAGTTCGTTTTTTCCTTTGACGCGGGCGGATATTTGCTGGTCGATCAATTTTCCCTCGATTCACAAATTCAGCTCCGCTTACATTTCTATAACGAATGAACTTGGAGCATGACTTACAATAAGTATTATCTGAAACCGCACTAAATATACCACGTAATCAACCGTATCATTAACGTATATCACCTGCTTATTTAAAAATTGCACAAAAATAGGCGTTATCTCTTTCTGAATAATTGAAAGTAATTAAAAATACTATTCTTCTTCTGTAATTTAAAGCAAAAATGCACGTTAACTAGCTTCATTAACTGATTTTAAGAGGTACTTTTTACAGTGAACCCGATTTGTGGATAACAGCCTAAAAAAGGTTGAGCCATTTCTGCAGTGTGCCATGTGCCATCTGATATACTGTTTTGTTACTTGACCGAGGAAACCTGTCGCTGCTTCGGTCTCTACAACTGTAATATTCCGGTCCGGCGTTCTGAGCTCTTCCGTGTCCAAGTAGTGCGACAAGCTGCAATGCAAAATAAATACCTCATAGACGGCTGTACGCTCGTGGCCGCCTAGTAAGAGGCCGATGTAAAGGAAGCAGGTAAGGAAGCACGGAAGAGGAAAGGAAGAGTGCCGGAGAGGAATATGAGGGCAATGATAACAGGAAGCAAAACCGATCGACCTCTTACCTGTTAACGTGTTACCATGACGCCCGCGGACGAGCAACACCACGCTGCAGTGACAACTCGTGGAGATAACCCACCCTATATATTTGACTACTGTCACAGTTTCAGTAGTTATGCAGACGTTAGAATTTGTTTTGTCCTGTCTCGATGCCCAGTTCTTTCGGAACAGAGCTGATATAGTGTAGTTAGCCATAGTTGTTCTTACTTTCACACGGCAGAGAAATCCGGATGGTGGTTTACTAAGAAGCATCCCATCAGTCTACCGCGCAAAAGTTCCAATACAAATATCAGACAAACATGTAATAATTGCTTTTATATGAGCGTATAATGCCCACATCTTAAAGCGAACAATAATGTTGTTTGCTGTTATTTATAGTGTGATATGGTTCACACTGCGTATAACAGAGAACACAAGTTGATGTGTAAAATCAAATAAGTACTCCGTTGCGATAGGTGAACATGACAACAACGAACATTTCTAATGAATGAATGACTGCCAACTTAAAAGAGGTGTGTGCATTTGGCCTCATATGAGTCAGTAAGCATGCATGCTGCATTCTGTTGGTCAGCAGTTAGAAATCAGTGCTATGGACAACAATTTATCTCTCGTATAAAAATCTCGGGTAATCAACCAACAAAACAACATTTGGGGATTCTAATGATTTGATGGAAAATTAGTCCAGTAAATTGCTATTTACATCAGAAGCAGTTAAATTCTTTCCCAGACCAGAAGCTTTGATGAACTTTTTTCCTTACCTGTCACTAAGCTGTAGAATTGGTTGCAAGTTACCGTTTTTTTTACCGCCATGACCTTCGCAAATAGCACCTATCACTCTGGTAATGATGGCTTTGTGACGATGAGGGTCATACGTTTTCTACCATTTCCGTGTTTGACACACTTTACCAGCAGCCAAAGGCGGTGGGTTGTAGCTACTTGGCCGGAACGATAATTGGATGAAACAATTCACAACGCAAGTTCTTCCTTTAAATGACGGTTTTCTTTCAACAATACATGCGCTACCTGAATCACATATCTATTGAGAACAACGAAACTGACCTGATTACCTTCACGACTGTATTCACTGGTATTGTTCCCTTTTCTCACTGTAACGCCATCTATTCCTACTCCATAAGAAAGAAAAACGTTTCGTGAACAAGCATCTTATTTTCCGATTTAACTTCCTAAGATCACTCCTTGAAATAACTACACTATTCGACAACTGGGAAGGTGCGCTGAACTACTCATATGCGGTGAACCCCAGTGAACTTAACTACACTTCTTCCGGTGCTTGGTCACGATCAAGTTTGTGATCTTTGAGCTCTGTTGATCTAGCTAGAGTAAGTTTGGTTCACCATTCACTCAGTGAACCAGCAGGACACATTCCAGGTCTTCGCATCTCTTGTCGTTTTAATTAATGAAGCAAGGACCATCTGCACCGCTCTGTGATCTCATACGTCAGATCACATTTATTCTGCCATTCCACTGTCTTGATTCGCATGTATAGATAGGTACACCACTGAAAGTGTCTTATCCAGAACCGATACTCGGGGACACAGATTATTTGTTTCACATTAACTCACCTGAACATGGCAAACATAAGCTTTTACATACCCTAGAGCTCACAAACAGACCAGAGACAAGTTGTTTGTGCAATTTGAGACGTTTTCTTTTTGGCATTTTGCACCAGACCTGTAGCCTCGCATTCGGATCTGGGCGGACACATCCAGTCCGTATTCGCTGCACCTGCACGGCCAGCCAACTGGACGTGTTTCATCTGTCCGGTGCGCAATTTCGAGTGCACCCGATTTGGACACGCCAATTGTTCTAAATATAGATGTACACACCATGCGCACGCACACACACTCACACACAGTGTAACCTTCGGGGATAGCCTCATTCGACTTTTTAGTCAGGAAACAGATTGACCGACTGAATTTGCGCTTATTTACCTCCCCCGAATCTTTGGATACAGGAAATTTCCAGTCGATTATCATTACGGTGAAATCTAACAATTCCACAGTTTTACACGAAAAAGTATCTCCGTGATCCGCTACGTGTGGTACACCTTCTGTAAAGCATCCATACCAAGTTTATATCTAACTTAGATATCTTGACCATTTTTGTCTTGTATTAATCGATCTTCGTCCTCTGGAGGACACCGTAGTCAAATAGATTGATTCATTGGCATCCAACGTTCCCCATTTCAGATATATGACCTTCAGTCTGGCGAGGAGACCCGTGCCAGTCCATTCATCGGGTCCAGTGTAGACGATCTGCTGGTTCAATGTGAGCTTTCATCCGGCCAACCCAATATTGTTGCTTTGGGCACTACCAACCGAACAATTTACCTCGCCGATTTGCGGGTAGGTTTGTGTATTCGTGATTTGCTTTTCATTCGTTTGATCATCTTCCTCTCAGTGAGGTGTTCGTCATACACCAGCAAGACCGCCTTTAACCGTCCTTAACATCCCTTCTTCTATTCGCGGCAACTATTAAACGGACTCTCCTGCGTTCATTTACTTTTGCGATCAATCCATCATCTCGACCGTTTTAATTAAAGCGTTTTTGTCAGGTTGCACTTGATGTCGGACAGTCAGTTGTTATGTTTGCCTTAGCGATTTGTGCACACTTGTATACGCCATGCGAAAAATTTGGGACACTTCTACGGTTTGTCGGCCAAATTCTTCATGTCTTTGGGCCATGTCATCCGCTGACCATCTCGCGATTTCGCCCAACTTGGTACAGCGACTGTGTATAACGCATGTCGAGGAAATCAGACGATGGACATCGGGTCATGTCACTCATATGCCCATCGACGGGCTTTCTCGGCTTGCATTATACGCCGTCGCTGAGCTACGAGGTGGAGATTCGATGACGTGACCTAATGGCTTGAAGAAATTGACAGAGACTTGATCAGGCTGGTGGGTATGGTCTTCGCGGATGGTGGCCCCGGGATGGTTCACACCGATGGTTGAAGACCCTATCAGACGTGGAGCAATCGCGCAGTCAGTGGCGTCTCTGCATTCGGTTTCTCACACACACACACACACACACACACACACACACACACACACACACACACACACACACACACACACACACAGAAGGTGTGGATCCGCTCCCAGGAGAACATCTCGACTTAAAGTATGTTGACGATATTGCCCTAATCTGTGACAGCTCCCAAACGTGACAAGCGGCACTGCACAGATTAGCTGTCACCCTATTCGGGTTATGCTTTGTCCCATCGAAGTGCAAAGCTTTCCTTCAAGATTGGCAGGGACTGCCTTGTGCGCTGACTCTTGGTGGGGATCAGCTAGAAGTCGTTCGGAAATTCAAAGACCTAGGGAGTTGTATCAGCGCCGTTGGAATTGAGACGGGGTCCCAAACCGTATAGCAAAAGCTCGAGGAGCTTTTGCTAACCTTCGCTACCTGTGGTGCGGGCGGGACATCACTCTCTCCCCGAAGGGTAGTTTACAATGCAGCCGTATGCTTGACCCTACTGTGCGGTTGGGAAACCTGGCTCATTAGATCAGAAAACATAAAGAGGCTAGTTACCTTCGACCACCGGTGCCTTCACAGTTTGGCTCATATCTGCTGTGAACACCGTGTGAGCAATGAACTTGTTCGACGCCTTGTTTATGGCTGCAGGAAGGAAGAAGCGAACCGCTCAGCACCGTTATTTCACGCACCAGGCTCCGATGGCTGGGCCACGTGTTGCGCATGCCAGCCCACCGACTTCCGCGACGTGCGTTGTTTGCGCGCCGGGGGTGCGGATGGAAGAAGAGGAGAGGTGGCCAAGCGATGACTTGGTCAAGAGGAATGAAGCCCTTACTTCGAAGTTGGCCTCGGTTGGAGCCTCTCGGCTCCCTGGTTGGGGACCGAAGGACGATGAACACGTTTGGTTGGATACACTTGTTGACATGGCTAGGAGCCGACCTCAATGGCGTTTGTGTTGTGAGTTCCTTTGTCCATCTCCTTCCGCTTAGCCTCCCCCTCCCATCATGATTTCAATTAATAGGCATTATATGACTTTTTGCGGCACAATAGCCGGCTGTTAGCTCTCCGGAACGATGTCCATCCGTTACTGGTGACTCAGCCGGCGAGCTACTGTTTCTCCTTTTTCCTTTTCTTTTGTGTTTCTAAGATTATATATATATATATATATATATATATATATATATATATATATATACACTGGCCTCCTTGTCTTCGCTTCCATCCTACGCCTCCGCTCGTAAATATGCCACGTCGTGGTAGCCGCTGGGTAGACATGCGGAGCACATGCCCAAACCAACGAAGCCTCCACTGTGAAATGATGCTGTCAGTCGGTCGGCGAAGTTTGTCAGATTTGAAGGCACGCCGACGGACTTCCTCATTAGTGGTGTGATGCTGCCGTCGAACACCAGCAATGTTTTGCAGGCAGCGGTCATCGAAGACAGATAGCCGCTGAACATCGCTTTTGCGAACTGGCCAAGTCTCACAGCCGTACTGCAGCATTGTAGACTCGTCCCTTGAGAGCGAGGCTGAAGTCACGACGAAGCGAAAACTACTCTAGCCTTGAAGACACCCAAGGAGATCCCATCCGTCAAACCGTCAATACTAAGATAACTTTTAAGCTAACTGAATTTGTCGACCACTCTGAGCGGATGCCCTGAAAGGATGAGAGAAGGGCGTGCACTTGGTCAGTCCTGTAACAAGACCTTACGTTTGGAAGGAGCAAAGGTCAGTCTAAATTAAGAGGCGGAAATCTCCAGTCTAAGCAACACATACTGGGCGGCCTGAGAGGACTCACAAGTCACAGCGATGTCATCAGCGTACTCCAAGGTCCGAAAGCGGTCACCAGGGAGCAGTCCAACGCCGCAGGACTCAGAATTTTCCAGGGCAGTTTCCGGGTTCTCCTCCATGGCGAAGTTGAACAAGAATGGAGAGGCTGGGCCACCCTGTCTAACACCGCTAGTGATACTGAAAGGGAGCGAAAAATCTCCGTATACTCGCACGCGGCCATGAGTTTGATGGTAAATAGTATGGAAACTGCTGATGGACTTCTCAGGTACTCTCCTCTTCAATAAGCAGTCCCTAAGAGCCACTGTCAACAGTGTGAAATGCGGCTCGAATGTCCAAGGATATGACTAGGGTTGCTCGACTGCACTTATGGCGATGTTCAAGTATCTGGTGGATCGTAAAGATGTGATCGACGCGACCGCGACCCGGACGAAATCCAGCTTGCTGTTCACACAGGTGGTGTACCCGTATGCAACTGGGACTCCGCAAGAGTAGGGCAGCGAGTAGTTTGGATGCGACACAAATGAGACTGATGCCACGATAGTTGGAGCAAACGGTCCTGTCTCCTTTTTTATAGACAGGTACAATATTCGCTAAATTCCAGTCGGATGGGATGGTTTCAGTAATGCAAATCTGATGAGTGATGTCAGTTCACTGGTGAGAGCAAGACCCCATGTTTGAAGAGGGCAGGAGGAAGTTCATCTGGGCCAAGTGACTTGTGGTGTTTTAGTAAGCGAAGCTCTTTGGAAACCTCAGCCTCAGTCGGTGGAGAAACATCAACGCACCAGGGAGCGCTGTGAATCCCGGAAGATAGACTCGGTTCTGCTGATGGCCAGTTGAACTGATCTTCAAAGGGCTCTGCCCATCGTGCCAGACGACGGTGACGACTGTGAATTAGTTTTCTGTCATTTTCACTGTTGCTTTTCTGCCTCCCGTGGAGCGAATAAGTTAGAAGAGTTTGCGGGAGTTTCCTGATGAGGCTGTCCGCTCCATCCCAACAACGCAATGTGTCCACTAGACCTCGCGATCCTTCCGGAGAACCTGCCTGAGCGCGGGAATTGTTCAACAGCTTTCCATTAATTGGAGAGACTGTGGAGATCCAGTGACTAGCCGCTTGTCTAGTGAAGCCACAGACCAAGATAGGGGACTTTCATAAGACGCTCGGACTCGAGACATTTTCCCCTAGACCCTTACACTGCCTCGGGAGTCACGGTAGAGAGACTCAAGAATGGAAAGGAATTTAGCCGACATACTCTTTATGGATAGGCGGTGCCACAAGCTGCCGCGGTCAACGGAGTTGAAGGCAGCTTTCAAATTAAGGAAAACCACCATTACCGGTCATCTGTACGTGTTTCTCTGCTCCAACACTTGACGAAGAGTAAATATGTGGTCAATACAACCACGATCAAAGCGGAAGCCACGCTGGCCTTCAGTGTTTCAGTACTCACGTGTACAAGTAAGTCGTCGGAGAATGATGCCTGCGATGTTTGGATGCAATGGAAACAAGACGGATACCTCTGCTTTTCGCTCCAAGTACGCTAACTCTTCTTGAAGATGGGCACGACATTTGATGGTCGCCAATCTTCACTGTTCCAAATCGTGTTAAATAGAATAGCGGGTCCAGTGAGCAAAGGGTCATCGCCATCTTTCAGTAAAGATGGTGGAAGGTCGTTGGGTCTATGAGCCTTGTTTCGTTTCAACGCGGAAAGCTCATGTCGAATCTCTTCCAAAGTGAGAGGTGTCACACCTGCTTCCCTTGACGGCTCAGACGATTCGGCGAGCGGCAGTGTGGCAGCAGGCCTGCTGAACTGCTCTACAAAATGTTCCGCCCAACGGGATAGTCGACGACCCTGGTATTGGATCAGCTGCCAGTTTTTCTCAGCTATTGTCTCGATAACTGATGGCTTTCTCTGACCAGTGTTCCGGATAAGCTGTAATACGACTCGGCTCTTCCCAATTGCACTGGCTTTCTCCATCTTACGGGCCCTTGCGATCCACCAACGTTCCCGGTCGATTCGAAAACTCTTTGTGATGCGTCATTTCACTCTGAACCTCAGTGCCCATTGGAACCAGATTCCGTGCTTCGGTCAAGCTGATCGATGCGTCGGAGATTCATTCGCATTTACGACGTCTCAAGTTGGGCGCGCAGCATGCGTCAAAGACATTCTTCATGACACACTTGAGACTGTTCCAGTCAGCATTCGGTTCACCAACCTCATTCATCACTGATAATTGGTGGGCCAGTTCGTCATAATATTGTTGAACTGCAGATTGTGAGAAGCTTAGATGATGGACGCCTTTTTAAAGCGGGAAAAGTGAACGCGTCAAGCGTGCGCGCACTAGAGAATGGTCGGAATCCAGGCACATGCTCCAATTTGAACGACAGTCCTAGACTGATGTGCGCCATCTGTTGCTAATAGCAATCTGGTCAATTTGGATCCAGGTCAAGGCGGAATTCGCTGGGCGCCAGGTGACGAGGTGTGAACATGTGTTGGAAAGCAGTGCTGCTGAGGTAAAAATTGTGGTCTTCGCACAGTTGCTGGAATCGATTTCCATTGTCAGTTCGGTATGCATCGACTCT